TGTATAATATCCCCTTGCCTGTTTAATGTATTGATTAACAAACGTATAAGGAATGTTTGTGATAACATTAGAAGAGAGATGTTGATTGGGGACATGAATGTGTGCATACTTCTATATGCAGATTATGCTGTGTGTTTTAAAAATCTGTATAATTTGCATCAAAAGTTACATAGATTGTATGACTCAATGTGAACACAATTGCAACTTATATATAAATGGTGAAAAAGTAGATCAAATAGATACATTTCTAATATGTTTCTTAATTTATTTTTATTGTGTTTAAAATAATAAAAGAAAAGAAACACAAAGTTAATTATAATGCAAATACATACATTTTTTCACTGAAAAAAACTACACATAAAAAGTGCTTTAAAAAGTGAAAAAAAGAACAGAAAAAAGAAGAAAAGTCTAATGTAGCCCTTCAGATTCAAAGAAGACACGCTGTTGTGCAATTCATCTGTGGACATGGAGGTGTCTCTGCAGTCCCAATCTGAAAGTGCAGAGTATAGCACAATGAGGGCACTGGAAGTCCATTGTTATAGTAACTGTGGGTGTTATTCTGTGATGCCATTCAGAGTTTTCTGTCATTTTTTGGCGGCGCCTGTCTTCAAAGCTGATGGAGGCTTCATAGCACAGGGCTCATCGTCAGGTTCCGCCAGCCGCCACAGCTTCTTGTTCCCTTGGCTAGATGTCACAGTGGTGTAGGGTTTCTTTCAAGCACTTGCATGGTCAACGTCGAGGTCTCTTCCCAGACTCAGTACACTACAGAGCAACCGGCAACGGGTGGTCACCCATTCTGATGACGTGTCCCACCCAACGCATCTGGTCTCTGATAATCAGGGACTCAATGCTGGTGGACTCCGCACAATCCAAGACCTCCAGGTTGGAAGCATAGTCTTGCCAACGAATGTCGAGGATGGAGCAGACAGCATGCCTGTGAAATTTCTCCAGTTGTTTGATGTGCCTTCGGTACAGAGTCCAGGACTCACATCCGTATAGGAGAGAAGGGATAACCACAGCTCTGTAGACCTTCAGCTTTGTGGAGATACTGATGTTGTGTTGATTGAGCACTCTAGTACGCAGCCACCCCAGTGCCTGGCTGGCCTTGCTGATCCTGGAATCAATTTCTTTGTACAAAGACCCATTGCTCAAGATTATGCTTATCAAGTATTTGAAGCTGTTTATATTTGTCAGCTGGGTGTTGTCAGTAATGATTTTTGGTTCTACAGGGTTGGTATTTGGCACGGGCTAGTAAAGTACTTTAGTCTTGTTCAGGTTGATAGTTAGGCCAAAGAGCATAGCAGTGTCTGAAAATTGGTTCAGCATCAACTGTAGATCACTGTCTTTGTGTGCCAGGACAAAGAGGGTTTCTTGGATGACTGTATGGAGGCACTTTGTCCATGCATTCAAGCAGCGAAGATCAAAGAGAGAACCATCCAATTGGTACCTGATACATACTCCTTCAGGCCTGGACAGCATGTGATAACATGCAAATGAAGAACAGATTGAACAAGACTGGGGCTAGCATACAACCCTGTTTTACCCCATTGGAAATGGCAAATGCAGCTGATGTATCACTGTTGTAAAGAACCTGTCCTGTCATTCCATCGTGGAGTAGCTGAATCAGCTTCACGAATTTCCTCAGGCATTCATAACATCTCAGGATGATTCAGAGAGCCTCCCTGTTTACAGTGTCAAATGTTTTTCTCAGGTCAATGAAGACAGAGTAAAGAGGCTTGTTCTGCTTGATGCACTTCTCCTGGACTTGCCTCACGGCAATATCATGTTTGCTGTACTCCGTTCTGGCTGAAAACCATACTGCACCTCTGGGAGGTTCCTTTCCAAGACAATGTTCAGGAGAATGTGGGCAAAGATCTTGCCTGCAGTAGACAGCAGTGAGATACCACTAAAGTTTTCGCAGTCTGATTTGCTTCCCTTATTTTTGTAGGGAGCCACAATGAGGGCATCACAGAAGTCGTCAGGCATCTCCTTTGTGGACCAAATGTTTTCCAAGGTGTCTTAGAATGCCTGTAAGGGGTTTGAGTCTAGTGCTTTGTAGATCTCAGCAGGAATGCCATCCTGTCCTGTTGCTTTATTTGAGTTAATCTGTGAGATCACTTTCTTGATCTCATCAGTAAAGGGAGGCAGGTCTAGGGCATCCAAGACTGGCAGCTGAGGAATCTGTTGTAAGACATCATGATCAACTGTGGATGGCCTATTGAAAAGGTTGGAAAAGTGTTTAGCACAGCAGTTTTTCAGTCCTTCCTGGTCTTTGTTCAGGCTTGACCCATCAGATGACAGCAGGGAGAGCATCCTGATTTAGAAAGACCATAAACTGACTTTATGGCGCTGAAGAACTCTCTGGTGGCATGCATGTCTGTATAGCATTCCACCTGCTCAGACTTTCTCTGCCACTACTCGTCCTACATTTCTCGCAGTTCCATCTGTGCTTTGGACTGCAGGTGTTTAAACTCATCTTTCTTTGAGACAGATGATATATCATTCTGCCAGTCTCCATAGGCCTTGTTCTTGCCCTGGAGGACTGCTGAAATAGTCTTGTGGTTTTCATCAAACCAGTCTTAATGCGCCCAGGTTTTCAGTCCAAGTACAGTTGTTGCAGTCTGCATGATGACATCTTTAAACTGCATCTTCTTTTCAGAACACGTTCCTACAAGCGATAAATTGCCAGAGAGTTTTTCATTAAATATATCTTTGAAACATTGGACTTAGCCTGGGTCTTGCAGTTAAAACAATTAACAGTTATAAGCAGTTAGAACAATTAACAGTTATAAGATGGGGAAATGGATGTTGAAATTTCAAAATATGGAAATGCTGGTAGGAATGCAATAGTATGTGGTCTTTTGGGAAGAATGGATGTTAAAAGAAGCAGCAATGACTCTATAAAAGAGTATGCTTCTGCCCACTTGGTTATATGGAAGTGAGAGTTGGGTATATGACGAGAAACAAAAGGAATTGAATGCAGTGGGATTGGGTTTGTGTGGTGAAATAAGATATAGGGCCAAGAATGAATGTGGACTAAATGAATACAGACTGAATACAAAAGTGAGTGACCAATATGAAGGAAATATATTGAGATTGATCATATTGAATCACAAAATAAATATATGAAGGAAGAGTGAATATGTGGAGAGGAAGATGAAGGTCAAAAAATTGGAGGTTGAATGAGATAAGAATAAGAAATTTTAAAAACCCAAAGCATTGCATAAAGCAGTGTATGGAAGTGATTTCCAAACAGTGGTTTGGGAATATAAAAAGGTACCTCTAATTGTGTAACAAGATTTTACATTTTTCATGCATATTGCAGTTGGTTATATTTAAATTATGACAAACATGAAGTATTAATGCTTTGGAATCTGCTAGAATTATATATATCAGCTTTGATATTTTGAAACAGAATTCTGTTGAACATTAAATTGAGGTGTGTAGTAAAAATATATTGTTTCATTTTTGTTAGTATCCAGGAGTCAGTACTGACTCCTGGATACTGTCTTGGCAAGTCCATGCAGTTTACTTGGCAACATTTTCAGGAGTGGTTTGCTATTGCTTTCTTCCCAGGCTAAAAAAAAGGGTAAGTTGCCCTAAGATCACCCAGTTGGCTTTGTGCTAAGACAGGACTAGGATTCACAATCTCCCAGATTCTAACCTGGGGCGCTTAATCGCTACATCAAACTGGGTCTCATTTATTGTATACAGAATGAAATACGAACAAATTCTACAGTATCATCACTTTATTATTCTTAAGTCCAACATAACATGGGCAAACTGCTATTGAAATTGCATAAGTGACAATATGTCACTTATGTATTAATGATTTTAAGAAATTCACTTTATTGTTTAGTCCCAACATAATTCCAGGGTTTATCAGAATGAAAAGACCAGTTGTATGTCTGCACACTTTAAAAATGAAATTTTATTACTAAATTCTACAATGAACAACTTGAATTCTGCAACTTACATAAATTATAGCAATTACAGGTAATCCTTGTTTAGCAACTATAATTGGGACCAGTAACTCAGTTGTTAAGCGAAGCAGTCACTAAGGGGGACTGAAACTGCTTACAATCTTACTTCAGCTTTCCTTTGCTTTACAGACCTGCGAAGGCTGTAAATGCAAGGATTGGTCACAAAGTTACTTTTTCATCACTGTCACAATTGCAGACAGTCACTAAACAAGACTGCCTTGCACTCCGCTGCTGCTCCCAGCTGACCTTTGCTGTCGTCTTCTTCCCGCTGCTGATGAGACATGCCAGGCCTTGCCCTTTGCAAGGCAGTTGCTGGCCACATGCAACCTCGGGAAGGTCTTGCACGGCCAGCAGCCGCCTCACGAAGGACAGGACAGGCATGCCTCATCAGCAGCAGGAGGAAAACAACAGTGAATGTCACCTGGGGGCAGCAGAAGTGGTGGAGCTCAGGGTGGCCAAAAGGCAGAGATGGGGGGGGATAGGCAGGTGGGGGCAGTTGAAGTACACCCTGCGTTCGCAAATGCAGGTGGGCTGCCAAGTGCCCAAATTTTGATCACATGACCTGCAGTGGCCGTAACTTCAAGGACTGGGCATAAGTATCATTTGTTCAGCACCATCGTAACTTTGAATGGGCGCTGAACGAATGAGCGCTAAGCGAGGACTACTTGTACAGCAAAATAGACCATTATCTGCCATAGCATGGAATTTGCATGCACTTCAATGTGGCTTAATTAATAATGGTCAGGGAGGCAACATTATAATTTTTTTCCTTAAAGAAAGCTAATGGGATAGTTTTCTCCTAAAAAGATTGAGCAGTAGAAACCAAGTAATCACAATGCTTTGTTCAACACAAATTTTTAGATTAATCATGAGAGAACAGAGAACACTTTACCATCTACACCATCTGTACTGTCAATACCATTATCTTATGTATAAGATAGATTAATCATTTTTTCAATAATTCTTCATATAAAACCTCCATCAGCTAATTTTATTTCTTTCTGTTTACTTTTTTAGGTTATATTTCACACTATGTGCTGACTGTCTGTACTTACAGAAACTATTTAAAAACAGGTTTTTTTTTTCAAAATAAATTTGATTCCAGTGGAATCTGCTTTAGATTTTGTCTTGTGAAGTAACTCCTGAAGCAATGCCTGTACAAGCTCCACAATGGACGGATTTTCTCTCCTGCCCTATTTGCACACAAACATTCGACGAAACGATCCGGAAGCCCATCAGTCTGGGTTGTGGCCACACAGTCTGCAAGATGTGCCTGAACAAGCTCCATCGGAAAGCGTGTCCTTTCGACCAGACCACTATCAATACAGACATAGAACACCTTCCTGTGAATTCAGCTTTACTGCAGCTTGTGGGTGCTCAGGTAAGGGAGTGTTTCCTTAGTCTCCTGCTTTGAGGTTTTTTTTTTAATTGTTTTTCCCAGTCAGCATTATTTTTTAATGGAATAAGCAAATGTATATTTTAAAAAAAAAATCACACAAAAAGTAGGTAATGAAATGAACAAAGGTAACAAACCATAACATTTTCAAATATATAAAACCATTAGTAGGTTGTGGAAAGACTTTCCTTAAGTTCCAAAGTTTCATTGTAGGATGCCTAGACAAACAAGTGATAGTTTTACTGTGTAACAAAAAAGTGTGAAATCCATATGAAAAAAGCTTGTTTAAACTTGTTTGCTATTTTTGGACAGAATCAATCTGCTGTTGGGGATCCAGCAAGCTTGTTTTATATTGTTAGCTGGAAATAAAGTTAATGCTTAACAACCAAACACGGACAACTAATATCATTAGGGGAATCGAACAATATTCCTAACAAGACAGTGTTGTAATACTTGGAGCTGTCTGAACTCAGGAAACATGAGACATACTACCAGAACCTATGGCCTTCACCACTGAAGAAAAAAAATGTTTGTTTGTTTGTTTATTAATTAGATTTATAAGTCTGCCCAACTCAAACAATGTGACTCTGGGTGGCATACAGCACATGCACAAAAACAATAAACCAAAAGAGAAAAACTAAACCATATAACATTAAAACATATATAATACATAAATATAAAGCCCAAAATATTAAAAGATATTTATATATTTCTATGAAGACAAATTACACAGAAATGGTAAGCAGTTCAGGTTAGATAAAAGGATTTATACTTGGATGCCTTTAAGATAGGATGAGAAAAAAAAAATAAAAAGACAACAGTGGCTACTAGTCATAATGGCTATATAAATCTCCAGTATATATTTCTGGGTTCTAGTTGCTGAGGACTAGAAGTAAAAATGTGCTGAATTAAATACATCTTTGGATTGATCCAGCTCATCCTTTATGTGTTAATTTTTTTTTGGTTATATTAACAATAGCTTGGTTTTTTTAATGTTTTTATATTTATGTTGCTATTCCATTTCTCAAGATGAATGTTCACAAAGGAATTTTTATTAATGTAAATGTAATTGTAAAAATTGTAATTTCATAACCTGAATTTTAAAATACTTTTTGACATTTGGTAGATTTGGGCAAGAAGGATGTAAGGTTTGGGCAAATTGTTTGCTAGAGCACTCTGGGGGGAAATGTCCAGGGTAGGCAAAAATAACAGGGTCTGTTATTTATACAACATTTCAGCATTATTTTTTCATGATTTTTTTTCTAGAAAAATAATTTTTTTAAAAATCCTTCTGAAACCAATGTGCTCTGCCTTGAATATATTTGTATATAAAGTAGTATGGAATCACTTGATATATTTTTTTCATTTTGTAACAATAACTGCTTCGTCTTCTTCAAAGCAGGAATAGACAGTGTAAATTAAAACTGAGGAGCTGCACATAAGTTTTGCAGGCAGTGATGGAGAGATAAACACTTAAAACTAGCTACAGTGGAACCTT